GTTACACTTGTCATTGGGATCTTGTACCTTTACATGACAGGTCTTGGTTCTCATTTTTTCCCCATACCCATTACCTCCCTTCACCCACTCCTCCCTTCCCTATTCACAAAGGCTTTGTTTGCATTTTTTCTTTTCCCTTATTACCTTTCTTCTACCCTTCCCACTTTCCCTACACCTTTAGCCTTTTTCTTCCTATTTCACATTATGAACAAAAAAATTTTTTTTATTAGATGTGTGTTTTTTTCCCCCCACACAAGCCAGTTCTCTAGCAGACATCAGCTGGGTGTCCGACAATTCAATTCCACTATGACACGACCTGAACAGCCTCACAAGCTGAAGGCTCAGTCCTACAGCACTGCTCCCATTCAGATGCAATCTCAAGACTTCTGAGCAACCCTCTATAATTCAGAGGATCCCGTGACCTCCAGAGGTTCAGCGAGAAAGACTGATGGAATTGCAGAACACTTTCCTTACCTTTGCCAGCGTATTATCAGGGTTACAGTTCAGGAACAGCTGGAAGAGATGTGTAGAGGAAGGGATGGGAGAGAGGGCACTTCACCCTCTGAGCCTCTTTACCTGCGCAGCAACTGGGAAGCTCATCAACTTTTAACTTCAAGAGTTTTTGTAGAGCTTAACCATTGGCTCCCCTTCCATTTGCTGGAGGTTGGCAGGAAGGGATAAAGGTTCCGAACCTCTAATATTCTGGATTTCTGGTGACTGGCCTATCACCGCAAGCTATCTAGGGTCCCATACTAGGACCCCTCAATAGCATAAACTAAAATGTTACTGAAAGGGGTTCATGATAAATAGCAAACGATCATTTATATTGCTCAGGAAATTTCAAGGATTCCAGGATCTCGGCTATAGGAACCAGTGACAAAGACCAAATGTACCTCTTATTGTGCCACATGGACATTATACTGAGTGCTTACTTTCACCTTCAGATGATTCTCTAAAGTGGATGCTATTATTATCTGTATTTTATATAAAGAATAACTGAATCTCAGAGGACTTACGTGATTTTCCCCCAACCACAAAATCCATGGGTTACAAAAGAGGATTTGAAATTAAGTAACCTGACTTTAGAAGAATCTGGGTACTGAACCTGTGTACTTTACAGCATAATCAACTGACCTTTGGCCAGCTTCTTGATTTCCTTTTGGCCTGATAAGCAGGAATCCACAATCTTGAATTATTCTTATTTTAGGAGATTTTTGTTTCTAATCTGGGTACCAGGACAACCATAAACTCGAATGCCAGTGGGGTTGGGAGAGTGAAAGAGACTTCCTCTCTTTTCTCCGAAGGTCTGGTGACTGAGGCTATTGAAGAAAGCTGACAATAGACAGATTAACAGGAAAAAAGGCATACAAATTTATTATATGCATGGGGACATTATGGGGAAAGAGTGACCCCAGTAGCCCAATATACCCCCTTCACATGAGAGAAGAAAGTGGGGGATGCAAGTAAGAGTAACAGAAAACAATGTTTCAGGCCCCAAAGAATAGACAGTAACTTGCAACAAAGTTCACCAGGCTCTGGGTGTGATGTCAACTCTAATTTTCTTTCCTTTATGTTAATCTGTTGGATAAGGCTACTATGTGGACAATGTTAGGACAATTTCATTCTTCTGGAAGAACTTTCTTTCCTGATGCAAGGGAACTTCAGAGCAGGCTCTTTCTTCTGCTTTGAGACAGATAAAGGGGAGTGAGACAAGGGAATGGGAAAAGATCAGAGAGACCTTGATTCTTTTTTGGGGTGGGTACTGGGGATCGAAGTTTGTAAGGCAGGCAGTGGAACCATGAACTGAATCCCCGGTCCCTGGCGCTACTTCTTTATTTCAAAATGCTCAGCATACTGAAGCATCATACTTTGGGATATTGTTTTCTCAACTCCATCATGGTCCATGCAGATGGCGTTAATGAGTTAAGAAGACTGGATGGAGGATTATGAGATAGCACTCTTAGTTTCTATGTTCCTTCCCAGTCTCAGTAAAGAAAGTTTTGCAGAAAAATATTTCTCTTCTATAAAAAGAAAAACACGGCGATATTGATGGCAACTGACGTTCACTTTCAGTGTCAGGAAGACAATAGGAGTGAGTGGGGATCGCAGCATATTGGAGATCAGTGCGCTAGAGAACCATTATCAGGCTTGGTAGCACCAGCTTGATTTCAGGGAAAGGCAGGTACTCATATTTTTATATTAAATATGTGAATTTTTAATTGTTAGTTCAATATTTTCAAAGTAACAGAGCTAGATAGAACCTATTTTTCAGCCAGAGGGTGCAAGTTTGTACCTTCTGGAAGAGAAGATATTTTGCAGTTGTGTTTGGGGTCATGTATGGTGGAAAAAAAAGATGGAAAAGTGAATTATTTTGCACCTTAATAGCCCCAAAGTCAGTAATGAATAATTACTTTTCATCTTCTAGCTGGCCTATATTACAGATAGGAGTGGTTTTCAGCTATTTGACTTCCTAGGCAAAAGAAAGCTCTGGAAACTTTTCATTAACAACACGTTTATAGATTTATAAAGTAATAAAAAAACTTCATAAGTATTTCAAGTGAATCGATATGGTCTATGGGCAACAATAACAGGCAAGTGTTTTCTCCCTGTGTATAGAACAGTCTGCAATTACTGTAGCAATTTGCATCTTGATGGATGGTTTATTTTATGTAGATTTTTGAACTCTTGCTTTTATTCTGTAAAAATATAGCTTTAGGCAATTCTCATCTTCTCTTTTATTACTTGAGATATTGAGAAAGTGTAGACAACAAGCACTCTTGGAGGGAAGAAGAAACTCAGTTGATATAAATAAATCCAGCTCCAGCTAGTTCCATCCTAAATGTGCAAGTGAGCCTTTCTGGGGCTTCTCTGCCTCTCTGCTTTTACTTATTGTACCAGACCTAAGGTCCTGGCTGCCCACTGCTCAAAGGTCCATATTAGGGAGATGCGAGTTGGTAGGAAGGAATCAGGTTTACCTAAGGGCCAGCCAACTTGAGAACATAGAGGGGCTCAGTCTTTAAATTACATCTTGAGGGCTCAGGGGATGCCTAAGATTTTAACAGAAAAGGAAGAGGGGAGCCGGGTAGGAAGGCTACATATTGAGTGACGTCTTGGTCTTCTAAGGCATTTGTTTCTTTTTTCTTCTTCACTGGACCTTGGCCTTCTGAGGGTTGCCCTTTAGTTGCTTTTTTATCCAGATTTTTATTAATACATATTTACAGTACATACTCATCACATTTATTTATTTATTTGAGATAGGCCTTGCTATGTAGTTTAGGATGGCCTCAAAGTCACTATGTAGCCCAGGTTGGCCTCGAACTCACAGTTAACCTCCTGCATTAGCCTTCCAAGTGCTGGGATTACAGGCGTGCGCCAACACACTTGGCTCATAATCCATTACATTGTTCATGGGGGTCAATACATGTACGTAACACATCTTAATTCTTTTTATGTCCCCTTCCCCTCTCCTCTTCTCCCTTTAGAATTAAAAATTAAAGCTGGGCATGGTGGCGCATGCCTGTAATCCCAGCACTGGGGAGGCTGAGGCAGGAGGATCACTGTGAGTTTGAGACCAGCTTGGGCTACATAGTGAGTTTCAGGTCAGACTCAACTACATAGTGAGATCCTGTCTCAAAAAAAAACAAAAAACAAAAAACAAAAAATTAAGGGTGCCAAGATCCTTAGATGTTTTGAATTCTGTAAGTATAAAGAAAGATTATTTTGCAGTTAACATATCATTGAGGCAAAAAATGAAGGAACATCAGAAGAATTAGGAAGCAGAAGGAGAAAAGAAGAGGGGAAGCAAATATAATTGTTAAGGTCAACTTCCTGAAAAAGCTGCCTTCCGTTTCACGGTGAGAATGCAGTTGCAAGTGGGAACATGGTAACGGCTCATTTTTAAGTTACTATCTAGAAATTTGGAACTGGTAGAGTAGGAATGGTAGAGTAGGGAGCATAGTAAACCTTCTCAAGAAAAAAGATAATACAACTAGACATTATTATAAAGAACAGCCCTTTCAGAGATCTCGGAAGTTAGTCCAGGGATACAACAAATTGATAATTGTTTATTTACGAAGAGCTGTTGCACACTGGGTGTAAATAATGGTAGTTGCCTGTGCAACTTTAACCTGAGTACCACTTTTCCCACCTCCTTCAGTTCTATCCTGGGGTGGTTTGGCCAGTGTGGGGCAAGCCATGAAGAAAAGGAATTTGGTTGGAGGAGGCTGAATTAATTCAGAGAGGAGGGCAGACAATATTAAATCTGCAGATACTGTAAAAAACAGTTGGTATGTAAGGAAGGCCAATGAAACTAGCCTGATGCTATGACCTTGAATTTGGTAAGCAAGAAACCAGCAGCACAGCCAGATATTTAACAGGGAGATAAATGGAATGAGGTAGCCTTGGAGATTCTGGTAAGCTCTCACTTATCCTTGCCCAAATGCCCAAGGCTGTAAACAATCTCAGCAGTTATCCACAAATCCTTGGCTCAGTGTGAGGCCGTCCGCCAAGAAGGTTCCCAGTGGAAAGTATGAGATGGAATAAGCTTGTAAACAGTGTGCTTGTGGATTGAATAGTATCCCCCTCACTTGCAAAAGAGAAGTCTAAATCCTAATTCCTGGTACCCATGAATGTGGCCGTATTTGGAAATCAGGTCTTTGCGGATGCAATTAAGATTCTTCAGATGAAGTCATTTTAAATCGTCTTAAATCTAATGATCGTTATCTGTATAAGAGAAAGGAGAGGAGGACACATAAGAGAAACAAACAGGGACAGGAAGGTCCTGTGAAGATGGAAGGGGAGCTTGGAATGATGAATCTATAAGTCAAGGAACACCAGAGATTGCTGGCACCACCAGAGACTAGGACAGAGGCCCAGAACAGATTTTCCCCATAAATCTTAGAAGGAACCAATCCTGTCGAGAGCTTGATTTCAGAATTCTGTTCTCTAGATTGGTTTCCATTGTTGTGAGCCACCTGATGATATCCCTAGAAACAAACACATTTGGTGTTGGAAATGTGCAAACAAGTAGGTTAATTCCCTGTAATGAAAACAGTGCTGGAATGTCAGGCTCAGAGAGGCCCTTGCTTGCTTTCTGGCCCCGTCACTTTCGAACATTTAATTTTTGTGAACTTTGGTTTTCTTATCTGCAAAATGAACTTTCTTAAAGAAGCTAGGATGATTAAACTCCATTGTGTCAACTTGATTGGCTTCAGGGGATTGGTGGAAAATACTTTTGGGTATCTGGGTAAGTCATAATTGTTATTTGTGCATGTCTTAAAAGTCTGTATCCCTGCTTTGCATTTTAGCTCTACCTTTGTATAACCCTCAGGAACATGTTTCTTGAGGAATGTGTAGGCTTAGGTGGGTGGAGAGGTTCCATTAAGACACTCAAGGTGAAAGAAACAGTAGGAATTAATCATATTCTGCTCCAAGGATATGTTGTGTACATAGAGGGGAAGTTTCATCCCTGCAAAAAAGATGATAAAGATATTAGCTATACTGCAAGTTCCCTTACCTGTAAGGTATGGTGTGCATAGTATAGGATCCAACTCTGTGCATATGTTTGCTCCTTGCTAAACTTATTTGTTTATATGCATTCCTTAACATGTTTATAGCTCAGGGTCATATGTGGTAAAATTAAATGAGATCACAGACCTTAGAATTATGCACCAGCCCAGCTGTCTGAATGTGAGATTAACTCTGGTTATAAATAGTGACTGGGCACAGAATTAACTAGCAAAATTAAGGGTTATAGGGCTTAGGTATTTGGGGGAGAAAAGGAAGAAAAGGCTGCCAAGAAATCCAAGTGTAAATTAACCCCACAGGAGCAAAAGCCGTAGAAAAGCTACGGGCAACTTGCAGTAGATAACAGTAAAGCTCACGCGGAAAGGAAATGTATGAATTGGTAAAGAGGAAAATACAAAGTGTTTGAGATGCTACATCCCTCTGCATCAGAATTCTGCTACTTGTTTTTAGGGAATCGTTTAAAAGATTCCACTCTTTAAGGATATTCTGAGTGGAACAAGAGGAATTTTGGGGGGTGAATGTGATAAAAAGCTATGTGCATTTTCTTGGAAGACATCATGTATTATTAAAATCTCTGGTGTTATATAAATTACAATAGAATTAGAAAGCTCCTCACCCCATTATTATTTTGGTAAAATATTATTCCACACCCAATGCACATAAATTACAGGAAAATTTAGAGGCTGTAGTTGAGAATACATTTTTAAAAAATTAGTTATTTTCCACCATTCAAAGGTAATGACATTGACATTTTTATGTGTCTCTTCCTAGATATACTATATATTGCATGGACTTTTATACTATTACTGATAAATTCTTGATAATGACTCGGCTTTGGTTATATAGTGATTGTTTTTAAGACACTTTTTCAATGGATTTAATTTATGTAGACCAGGATGTATTTCTTTAAGTTTTTTTTTTTGTTGTTGGTTTGTTTTTTGAGGCAGGGTCTCACTACGTACTTGAGACTGACCTGGAGCTCACTATGTAGTTCAGGCTTGTCTCGAACTCACAGTGATCCTCCTGTCTCAGCCTTCCAAGGGCTGGGATTACAGGCGTGTGCCGCCACGCCTGGCTCTCTTTAAATTTTTGAAATGTGTTATTACTTGTTTTGGAAAAGAATCTTTGCCTATCTTTTTATCTGTCCATGCCACTGTCCTTATCTATCTTTGATCATCTATCCTGTCTGTCTATCAATCTATCATCTTCTCTGTTTCTCTCTCTCTTCCCTCTGAACTCTTTCCTATATTTGGGGAAATCCCATGGCAGAGCCCACCTTCCTTGGTAGAACTTTGTTAAGCCATATGTGCGGTGCTCACCCTGCCTTGCAGCTGGCATTTAGAATCCAGAGCCCAGTGGCTGCAGGGTGTGTGAGGGGCACCAGTCTGGTCTGTGACCTTCTTTCTGTTTAGGTTTTAACTGCTGCCTAGACTCTTGTTCCTGGCCATTCTCCTACCCTATTTCTCCATATATTCTGGTAACTACCAAGAAATCTTTAAAAATGCTTTTTCTTTATAAATTAACAGGGTGTTTTTGTTACTTACAACCAAGAACTTCAATGAGTAGACCTCAGTTTCACTCAGAAAATTGAATACCTAAATTATTTTCAGTAGGACAGTGAGACATCTAGATTTTTTTGCTTTCTTTCCAGAGGAGTCTAGGAATTCAGACCAGAAAGAATTTTGGAGATGATCTTGTCATCTGCCTATATCAAGGGTTTAGAGCTAGATGCTTTCACTGTCACTTGCTAGCTGTGGGATACTGGGAAAATCAATTAATTCCTCTGCTAAAGTAAGGGAATCAGACTTGAGTTGTCTAAAGTAAAGGAGGGAGTGAGACAGTTAGATTTGAATTTTCTTGAGGTTTGGAGTTCTGTTATTTTAGCAGAACCAGAATCTTTGGACTTCAGCTCATACCATCTAGTTCTGAACTCCCAGTCCTAATAATTATGTAATTATGAATGAATAGAAATAACAATTAAAACATCAAAGATGTACAAAAGGAGTAAATCTATATTCTTCTGAAAGTTTAAACTCATTTGACCTTTGATGAGTCCGTAGCAGCACAGATAGCCAGCTGAAATAATTTATATGGATCAGGGAACACTGCATGCTCAGGTTCACAGCTAAAGACAGTAAGCTGTTGGTGCAATTAAAACTCACTAGTTTCTTCTGTTGTATCCTCTGAATTCAAAGAAAAAGGTTCTTAAATCTTATTAACAATGTAAGTGTGATGCCTTTCTTTTCAGGCTCTCTAGGACTCAAAAATCGTTTCCTTGGTATAACTTTGAAGATTAGAGCTGGGCATAGCTGCCTGTATGTTCAGAGTGAGACACATGCCAATGAACTTTAGATGTTTAGATAATGAGTATTTTCATTTGTTTTCTTTGATGCAAAACCCAGCAGTGACAAGGACATAAATACCCATAGGATTTTACTATAGGAAAAGATCTAGCCCAATTTCTATTCTTCATTGATAAGAAAAAAGAAACATATTAGCATACTTGCCCGAGGTCAAGTAACTAAGTTCAAGTGATAGATCCGAGACTAGAACCTAGAATCCATGATACCTTCAGCAATATGATGGCAAAGATGGTGTTTCTCTTGATTTCTGAGGAGCTGCAGAGCCTTGTTTGTAGTAAACACTCAACAATGAAAGGATGGGTAATAATCAGTTGCACTATAGTATAATTCCTGCTATGATATGTGTATTAAGGGATTCAAGAAAATATTCACATATTAAAAGAGTTAATTTAAAGAACCAGGACCAAGTATATTAATGTTGGGTGCTGGTGATTTATTTTAGTACTTAAGGCTAGATTCAGGCTTTCACTTGTTAAAAAAAATCTGTGACGATTAAGGCATGAAGATATTCAAGTTCTTTTACTCTAAAAGCTTGATGTTGTCCACTGATGTGACATGGCTTGTCCCTTGAGACAGGTGATTAGAATATCCATGTTACAGAGCAGGTGGTGGGGCCGCATAACTGCTGCTCTGATTAATGGGTCATTATTACTTTGTCAAAGTATTTGACATACACACAGCCTGGCTCAGTCATGATATTTTCTCTTTGGATGGGTAAGGTTTATTTACTTAGATTTTCCTCGGAAATATCTTCGGCAAATTAAATATTCCTGATGCTTATTTAAGTGTAGCTAAAACAGAACAGCAGATCTTTAGCAGTGTTGAATGGCTGCGTTAAAATGGAGTTTGTCAGGTCAAATTGAAAGTTCTAAAAAAATAATACCCACTGAGTTAGAATGAAAGGGAGCAGAGATAAAAATTCCACTGAGGACAGGTTTGGGAATATGCATTTATTTTATTTTAGTTTTTTGGTACTGGGGATCGAACTCAGGACCTTGCGCTTGCCAAGGCTGGTGGCGGCACCACTGAGCTAAATCCCCAGCCCACATATGGGTTTATTTTTGAATCTTTCTTTTGTGGTACTGGGACTTGAACCCAAGGCCTTTGCACTGAGCTATTCTCCCATCCATTTTTAATTTTTATTATAAGATTTTGTTAGTATGTGTTTGTGATAATAATAGTTACATTCATCTTGGGATCACAACTTGATCATTTTTATTACCCCTCCCCTTGTTAATCTTTTATTTTTGAAACAGGGTCTCACTAAGTCACTAAATTACCCAGCCAAGGTCAAACTTCCAATCCTTTTGTCTCAGCCTCCCAGAATGCTGGGATTACAGCCCTGTGCCACCATGCCCAGTTTATTTTGGAATCTTGGTATTTAAGATGCAGCTGGTCAAGGGGCTGGGGATTTAGCTCAGTGGTTCTGGCGCCTGCCTCACAAGCGCAAGGGCCCGAGTTCTATTCCCAGTACCAAAAAAAAGAAAAACAAAGGTGCAGCTGATCTGATGTCTTACACCTGCCCTGCACCCTCCCATATTTCACTGTCATCTCTTCCCAATTTAAAGCTCCTCTTTCATTTTCTGTTTTGCTGTGCTGCCACTTTCTTCCTTGCCAGTGATAATGGGTCTCTTTTCATACATAAAAAAGTAGTTCTTTGTTTACTTTAATGACTTACGTTTTGTGGATGTTATTGAAGTGAAAGGGCCCATTTGAATATTATAAAACAACAACAAAAAAAACTTTTCCATGTTTATAGATCTTGTGTTTCCATAGTGTTTTGTGGGAAAATTTCCTGGCAAAAAAGGAGTAGCTTTGAATACTCAAAAGAAGTAGCTCTGCTCTGAGAATTTTTCCCCCTGTGGTGTTACTTTTAGAGTTCAGACTGACCAGGATCTTTCTAGATTCTGTGAAACGGTACTGTGAACACTGTTTATGTGTTTGCGTTAATTAGAAGACAGGAGAGCAACAGAAAGGGAATAAATAGTGTCAGAATAAATAGTGAAAGAAGTAGGCTTTTTAATTGCCAAAATAGAATCATATTGTATGCAAAATATTTAACAAATGTTCTGTTCTCTAACATGCTATTCTGTTGCTCTATTATCTGGTACTTTCATGCAGTTATAAGAAAGAAAAATCCATACTAATGATACCCTGAGGCGCTGTAAGATTTCTAACTTCCTTTCAAACAAATGGTTTTCAAACTAAAAATAAATTAGTGGAAACCTTTACAAAAGGAAATGGTATATGAAGCCACTGTATTAAGCAGGAAAGCAGAGCTGTTTGCTTCTTGTGTGGATTGTGGTAGTGGAGGGGCTGAACCTGACTTGCCTGTTCTCGCTGCGTTGGCTTTCTT